TCCCATGATCCTCCAAGTAGGCCCCGTAACAAGTTGTGCCTGTGCGCCCTTTCATTCTGCTCCTCGCCGCAAGTTTTTGCTATCGATTGTACTACCAAGCACTCGACCCAACCCGAACACAATCAGCTTCTCTCATGCAGCATGATATGGGTGTCTGTGAAGTCCTTCACTTTCTGAACCCCCACACACCATGACGCCCCAAAAAATCGGACCCTTATTAGTTCTTGGAATCTGAAAGAAGGGAGGCACGGCTAATGAATCATTCAGATCTACTCCAACCCAGGTACCCAAAGCCTTAATGCCGCACTTACTGCCTCATTCGCCGGCCTTCGGCACCTCCGAAGCCTCTGCAGGTGCCCCTGCGTCGGGGCGCCAGGAGATGCCCAAACCTGGCTCGCGCAGGTTCGAAGTCGCAAGGGCCGGATGGGCTTTGGGTCTCACCAATTTTTTTGGGTTTCGGGATGGCTATTGTAAACTCGCTCCGTCCGTTGCTGTGCTCGACTCTTCGATCCAAAGCATTTTAAGGGCACTTAACTACAGAAACTGTCCATAAACGCTCAGTCAAGCTTCTAAGCGAGAAGCTTGAAAAAATCTCCGACACGAAACGAGAGGGCCGAGAGATCAAAGACTGGCGCTATTGGACGCTATTCCGGACACGAGTCACAAGCACAGTGATGTCACTGTTCCTACTACCAAAGTCGCCAGTATCATCTCCGTCCTCAGGACCCCGCAGGAATTCTTTTAAGAATTTGCCGGGGCCCGAGCGAGACATCAACTCCGACAAGGCGGCGGGCATGTGCGCTGAGGCCTTGGCACCTGGCGCAGCTCGGACAATCGGAATACCTAGATCTACCTAAGAGAATCAATTAGAATCAATGAAACGACGATAACCAAGCTTGAATACGAGCAAGCGTCAGTAGTATCACTAGAATCGGGGAGATATACTTGAACTAGTTCAGATGATCGCATAAACTTCACTGACCTTGGACAGCTCGAGAACCAGGCCTCCAACAAGCCCCCAAAACTCCAAACCCGAAAACCTATATATATATATATACCTATAAATCCTAAACCCCAAACCTTGAACCGGAAATCTCAAAACCCGTGGACGACGCGACGGCCTCGGCGAGAGGCGTCCGAGCGGCGCCTGCCCTTGGAAGCAGCGGCCTGCGCCTCGGCGAAGAGCTCCGAGACCTGAGCTCGGACGTGACCCCATAATTTCCTATACTATCTTGGGGGTTCCTTATTATGATATTAGTATAATGGGCCCAAAAACCCTATAAGGCCTATTTCTAGTTGTTCAGGTCCCTATATTAGATGAGGGGCTTCAGAACTCGAAGCCCTGTACTGTTCTTATTCAGAGTAGCAATGGCTGTAGAGTGGTAGTCGTCGTCGCGGTGGTAGGACGGGGAGGAGGAGGAGGAGGAGGACGAGGAGGACCAGGAGGACGAGGAGGTGAGGAGGAGGAGGGAGGAGCAGGAACATGAGCATTTCCACAGGCGCACACGTCATGGTAATACACGTCGAAATCGTTATAGTGCTAGTAGCAGTCGCGGCGTAATAGTGGTGGAAGTGGAAGTGGGAATAGCATAAAGATGGCTAGTACTGATACTGCAATTCTAGGATCAACACCGCAAACTGTGGCACAAACATGTGCAAA